ACAACACGTGCTTTTGGAGCCATCACTGTGTTCATCCAAGTATTCAAATGGGTGAACACTAAAGAAACAGAGAAACTGGGGATGCACCTGCCACGAGAATGTTTTCTCCTTCCTCAAAAAATCAGATCCTCTCTAACACAGCAGAGGCCAGGTTGCAAACTAAGTTGCAGCAACTCCACGACAGCAGGGTCCCTTTTCTCTCTGCAACTGGCTGCGAAGGAGAGGTTCAAAGCCTATGAAGTCTTTCTGGTCTTGAGTGCTCAAGCACTTAGCCTCTATAGTCAATTGAGCTTGTAAAAACAATGTCACATCCCCCATAACAACATCACTTGGACTAAACAACACTGTCCAGACAGTCACTGGTCAAGGCCCAGATAGGCTGACAATATACTCCCCTAGCACATCCTCCAACAAAAACAGAAGCTCTCAGTACCCAGGGCTTTCAAGCTGATACTTTCACTCAAGCTTTAATCTCCAAAATCAATTAAAAGCAAAGCAAATAAACCCAAGAGATCATCTCCCCTGTGTGGCTTTCAGCTTCACAGGCAGGAGAAAAATTATCCTTCATAATATCACATTGAAAGCACGTACTGCAGATGGCTGTCACTCAGTCATTAAGTGCAGTTTTGCAATTCCACCTATCGCTCTGTGAACCAGGATGATTTGTGCATACTTGGTGCATGAGTAACATACTGGAGCATTCTGCATCCCTTATGAAAAGTCATTATAGATAAAACAGACAGATCCTCGATAAGGCTTCAAAGGGGCTGGGAGTGTATTGCCTTCAAAAACGTTGCCAGTCCCTCCTGAGATAAGTCCCACTCGACCCTGACTCGCACCCAAGCTCAGCCAAGCTTGCTTTCACACTCCAGAGCTCTGCTTCTTGTTGCTGTGACTAAACACGTCATCTTGTCTGCAAAGCAAGGGTGTATGAACAGGGAAGAGGTAGAAGCCAGCTCTCGCAGTAAAATGCCTCTTCAGTCACAAACTGAGCAGATTTTTGTGGCTGCCAGATGCAAGGCACAAGTTGTCAGACCTGGTGGATTTTCACCCGACGCTGAGCTGAGTCATAGTGGACATTTTACCTCAAGTCTTCACCTTTTGGTACTGCCAGGCGTCGTCTCCAGGGTAGTTTGCATGCAACGCTGCAAGACAGCAGTGTTGAGTCATCCCACTCATTGTACTGTGACCACTCTGGTGAGATTTTTACTTGTGTGGATGCCTGTCCGATTAGTCTGTGAGTCACCATTCACAGAGAGCTGCAAGCCTCAACTACGAGAATATCTCATCCGAAAAGATGGTGCCTATTCCTTGCTACAAGTGAACAGTCAACTGAGCCCCGTTGCATATCAAGGACTAGAGGAGAGAGGACTATAACATAAGAAAGTGGATAGCAAAGCTTGTATTTTGTTGGTATGTTTTATAAGAAAACCTTGTTCTTCAATAATGTTTTAGATATCTGACAATTTCGTGAAAAGAACCACAGTAACACAACTCCCGTGCTCCTTAACACATCCATTACACGTTTCTGAGCATTCCCTTCAACTAGAGCTGCAGAGACACCAGCTTGTTAATTATATTAAGATAAAGGGGAAATTTGGCAATTAAACTCCCATTTTTTTGCATATGTCCCTGGTAGGCTTCTGATAAGGCTGTCTGCTGCCTCAGGGCAGCATTCCCCCACACAAGGTTTCCTGGAGACCCGCTGCTATGACTAAGCTTTCCATCACTGCCGTGTAATCAGGAGCTCACACCAGGAGGTAAAGCTGCTCAGACTGTGGCAGCCATTGTAACTTGAACTTTTCTCACAGAGCATCTTAGGATGAGTTTCTCTAGCCGTAGAAAGCTCAGCAAAGCAGCTTTTAATGACTCTGCCAGCAGGAACTGGTGGAATTCCTTGGCCCTTCATCTGAGGGAGGTGAATCTCAAGGACCATTATTTGTTGTTGGCCCTGGTGGTTACTAAGGTTTGATCACTGGAGAAGGAGAGGAGATGGAAAAGAGCAAAGCTGGTAATTTCAGTCAGCTCACATGCACACCAAGCCTCCCTGAGCTCACGTGAACATACATTTAAGAGTACAGTACATGCTGATTCCGCTTCTACTAGTCTATCCCTATCCAAGTGAAATCTGAAACCATAAAAGTAACCTGAGTTCTGCTGTACTGTGACCAGCAAAGAGCAGCCAAGTGTAGAGGGCAATATGAGAGAAGAAAGAGCAAAAGACACAATACAGACTATTTCATTACCATGTTTCTTATTCTGGTTCAACAGTTATTGCAGCACGGAGGGTTTCATTCTGGATATTAATAACCCTCATGGAGCATCTGTTATATGCCCCCAGTTGGGACAAGAAACAACAAAATCCCACTCCATTTCTAGTCCCTACCACGTGCTTCCCCATAAAAGAAAGTAAACTCTGAGCTGAGGCAACAGAGCATCAGTGAAATCTGAGCCAAAGCAATGGTTAAACCTCTCCACATCCAAACAACACTAAAGACTTGTTGACTGTGTAATTCCACATAAGGTTTTATAGTAAAAGCATCAAGAGCACGGTTTGTTTCACCACCCCGGCAAAGCAAAATGCTGTTTCTCGGTTTGTTACCTCCACCCCAGTGCCAACCTTTACCGATAGCTCAGAGATGAGTGAAATGTTCCTTTCATGATTACTGCAGAGTATTCCCCAGACAAACACATTGTCTTACCTTGAACATTATTTAAGCATTTAGCTAGTTGCATCCCTTGTTTGTCTGTGGAAGACTGACTTTTTCTCTACTTAGCTGAATTAAAGGGCTTTTGCTCTTCCTCCTCCAACTCCTCACAAGCAAGTAATCTCTTTTCTGAAGAGCCCATATCTTCTGTTGGTTTCACCTGAATAAATTCTGAAGTTTGAAGCTTCCATCAAATCTAGCCCCAGAGACAAGTGGCAAGTTGGGGCTGAGGAGAGTGGAGGGAAAACATGCTTAATTAAATTAACATAGAAATATCAAGCATCATGATGAGGAGGTGAGATTAATTCTTTTCTAAACACCAGGAAAAAGAGAACAGAAGAAGTAAAAGAAGAGATAAAGGCCTTTGGTATTGCACAAAGTGGTCATCAAGAGGCCCAACTAAATTTTCATTATATCTTGATAGTCACTATAAAAGGAGAGGGAATTCACCACCTCAGAATAATGAGGGAAAACACTCAATTTGAATTGTCCATAAATACCCTGTGCTTGGAGGCTTTGCACTGCTCAACATTTAAATGGCACTTTAAAAAGAAAATAAAGACATAAAGGAGAAGGGAAGATGTACCCTTAGGGAAAAGCAGGAAAAGAAAGATCTTTGTATCCATTCAACTTGATATAAGCATTTGCTCTATCAAGAACTAATTAGCAATGGAAAAATAACTATTGGGATGCCTGTAAACAGTGGTTTGTTACAAGCAACATTTATTACAGTGAGTTTGACTACATTACAGTCTGACAAGCACATGCCTAATATACCACATTAGTGCTACACTGGCTGCTGCTTCCAGCAGGGTTCAGATCTTGCTCTAACCCAGTGACACTCAAAAGCCTCTTGCTGCCATCAGGGGGTGGGTGTACAAAGTATTGTACAAATACTCCACAAGAAATACTCCTTGTTCCACAAGCAACCAGCCAAACAGGCAAGACAGACAAAAGCAGGAGGAAAAGTATCATGATCCCTATTTCTTGTACAAGAAGCTGAACCACAGAGAGGTGAGTGTGTACTTAGAGCTCATGTGTTGTGTCAGTGATATAAACAACATGCCTTTCTAGTTTAAGTAGACATGCTAGGAGGTCCTGATGCTTTTGTGATTCCCAGGGTTAACTGCACAGACTCCTAGCCTTGTATTTGTTCAGATTTAACAGCAAGCAAGAAACCCAACGCCCCCACACTCTCACACATGCCACACCACTAGTAACTGTTAGAAAGCCAGCTAAATGAAAACTGAAACACGTCAGTGGTATCTAAACAAATACACAAGCCCTTGTAGTCAGAGCAGAAATGAATCCTTAAATCGATCTCCAACTCTGTCGATATTAAAATTCTCTCTGAAAGAGAGCTCTTGCATCCTGCCCTAATGGGCAACAAAACTGGGCAGTTCTGGGATATACTGAGTGCAGATTTTCCAGCAGGGTCACCTACCAGTTACCCACCATGGGATCAAATGATCCCAGTCTAAGCATCTATTGAGGAGCATCACAGAGTGGGACAGGCTCCATTTGCAGGAGGTTACAGGACATTTGCTACGTCACAGGTCGCACACACAGAGATCTGCGTCTTGTCTGTGAAGTGTGATGCTGCCTGCAGAGACATGCCCTGGTACAAAGAAGCTTAAGGGCAGCTTTGAATTTAGTGTATGAGAGTGTCCTGCTAAACCTGCTTGAAGGAAAAGCCTCTCTTCTCTCATCTAAGGACACAGGGTGTTACTTGGCTCTTGTAGGATGCCCTTCTATAAATCAGGCTCTAGCTGGCATGTTGTGTGGTGCAGAGACTCTTTGTCTATGACTTGAAATGGGGCCAATGTCATCAGACTTAAAAGGGATGAAAAGTATCTCCTCTGTACAGTATTTATTTTTGATGTATCTCCCCACAACCTTCCATTTTATTTGCATCAAGCAGTTTTCCCTCAGCCTGATCCAGTACCAGCAAATGCTGGAAAATATGTCTGCAGAATCCATGTTAGAAAATCAACCAGTCACTGGAGTCATCTTAGTGTACACTTCCCACTGAGTCCTTCCTCTCTCATATTGCACATGTTGTTCAAGGGTAAGCAAAATGGATCCCTCGAGATCTCAGAGGGATTTCATTTCCCACCAGGAAAAGAAAGGGAATTGCTGCATACAGTTCAGTCCAGGATACATGAACCAGCCCTCCTCCTCTACATAGCCCTCCTTCCACGGTCTCTAACCACATCAACAGCTTCACATAACTAGGAATGCCCACGGGAGATGATAGGTATAATAATCAGTCTCACCTTCCTTGCAGTTACTGGAGGAGTCAGGGGTGCTTATCGAGCTCAGCTCTACCTTATCACCTCCTCACTGCTTCCCTCTTGTTTCTGACATCCTCTCCTGGAGGTGTTTCGCTGTCAGCTTCTCAGAGCCAGATACTTTACAGACCTAATAAGAGCAGACAAACAACATCTATGTCTGAATGATTAGCTGATAATCACAGACATTTTCTTTGCCAAGTTTTTTTTTAATAGAGAAGCCCAGTTCAGCCTTCCTTCACCCCAGCATCCCACTGCCAAAGCCCACAAATAACTTCAACGTAAGGGATGGGTGAAAAACAAAATCCAGCTCATATTGTCTGCCATCAAACGGCTGCTAAATAATGCAAAGAAATGAAAACAATTTAGTTTGGATGATTGATTACAGGGAAATTGCTCATACCTCCGAAGTGTGGCACTTCCAATCACATCTTTGTTTCATTTGTCAGCAAAGAAATTAAGTTCCTCTCCTGGCTCAGAGCCTGTGCTGTCCTGCTAGCCATGTTTGGCACACTGCACTGCTTTGCAGCAGTTTTTTGACTCACTTAGACACCTTGTCTTGCCCCACCTAAGCCGCCAAGTCATGACCCTCTGGGACATAAGGTTGGGCTCCAGTTTAGCAGACTACAGTGGCTCAGTTCTTCCCTGAGGCAGTTCTCCCAGCTCTTCACATTAACCCCAAAGGACACATACTCCATTTAGCACAAAATGCAGCCTTGGAAAAGTCAAGAGGACACCCAGCACCTGAGGATTTGCAAGTTCCCTTCAAGAAGGTCTTCCTGAACTTGGAATTCCCTCCTTCACCTTCATGCAATTATGTAGTTTTAAGCAGAGATTTGACCTCCAGATCTTGAAAGGAATATCAGTAACTGCCTCACACATGAAGAAGCAGAGGGATGAAAGAGACACATTCATGTCAATAAAGAGCAGAAAACAGTCCCACTGGCACAAAAATACTGCTCTTCCTCTCAGCTCCCGAAATCCAGCAACAAAAGGGATCTCCTAGTCCTACACTCTGCTATGACAGGCAGTAGTTTTCTATATCCTTTGAATTAATTTAGCAAGCTCTATTTTAAAAACAAGCTCTGATTTTTGCCCCTAGCATTCCCATTATGAAAGGCTGTTTCAGAACATTGCTGTTCTGACAGTTCAAAACTTTCTTTCAATTTCCTGCCTAATTTATGCCTGGCTAGTTTTATACTCATGTTGTTACAGCAGTGCTGTTCTTTGGTTTAAAGAGTTCCCTTTTCTCCTGATGTTTGCTCCACAATGATATATTAACAGAGCTGTCACATAAGGCACGTTTAACCTAGTTTTATCACTGAAAGATGAAGATTTTATCTATTTTTAGATGGGTTTTTAACTCCTCAAGGAAGAGGCTGTGTTTTTACATTGGGCTTAATTATAGATATGTATGGCAGAAAGGCATTCCATGGGATCATCAGAGACAGGATCAAATACACTTGAATAACTATTTGTCTTAATAGTTGTTTGTCTAGCCCATTCCTAAAATTCACTAAGAAAGGGGATGCCACATCTTTCCTAGAGAGCTTGTTTCTGTGTTTTACCCGTCTAGGGATTAGAAGGGTTTTCCTAATAAACATCTTAAATCACCTTCACTATGAATTCAAACACTTTTTCTTATACCAGTACCATGGAAAACAGCTCATCATCAGCTTTTTTATAAGTATTACTTTTGTGAGGAAGACTGACTGCATCCCATTTCCTTAATTTATCTCTTAAAATGAATAAATAAACTGTCTTTGTCCATAGGAGTTGTTTGCCTGACCTCTCATCATTCACCTGTTTTGTTGCTGATTTTTTTCATCCTCGGCTCTTTCTCCAAATATTTTAATGGTGTGTAGACAAAGTTCCACATTAGTTCTGGACACCCACACTTGGCTGAAGATCTACCAGCCCCAAGGAGGTTTGTAATCATTGTCTCACAAGTCTGGCAAAGAGTATTCTTGTTAATACAGCGTTGGATACAATGAGGTATTTTGCTGCAGCCGCAGGGTTGATTCATATTCTGCTTGTGAACCAGCACAACCCAGGTCCTCTCCTGATGCCTCATTGCATATTCCCTGTTTTGTGTTTGTGCATTCTGCTTTGCCTGCCCCAGAGGAGTGCTTTGCACTTGTCTTAATTTCCTCTCTTTTGCTTTCAGGCAGGATCTCTCATTTGTAAAGATTTATGTAAGGGCTGAGCCTCTCTCACAGGGTCCCATATTTACCTGGCACAATGACAGGCAGTGTTTAAGACCTCCAGACAACACTACCCTCCAGCACAGTTCAGCCAGGATACAGATGCAATCTCAAGAACTGTTTGTGCTGCTCTTCCAACTAATATTCAAGAAAAGTCCTCTTATTCCTGATTTTTACAGACTACTTCCTCCAAAACAGGTCATGTATCTTCTCTTGAGCAATATTCTACAACTACATCATCAAAAGATCTGCATTTCAGACCTCCTCTGCAACCACCTGAACCTTCCCATCTGCCACAGGACACTGTCCTTACTCTGTGGCCCTACTCACCCTTGCCAACACACTAAATCAGGGATCTCCATTTTCCCTGAAAGAGCTGCACGGCACTGTCCAAAGCTGGAATACACCAATGCAAATTTTAGCAGGGGTTTCCTTTAAAGACATATTAAATCAGGGGTCAGAAAACAAACTTACATTCTGGTGATTGTGTCCCTACAGCACAAGATCCTCTTCTGCTCTGCTTCCTAGCAGCCATCAGTACCTCTCTGCACCCAAGTGTCCTCCTTCCCACCTCCACCAAGGCACCAGGGCATTGCAAATCTCTCAGGAGTCCCCCAGCCTGCACTGCCCTGGACTGAGAATGTTCAAGAATGAGGTCTCCTAAAAACATCTCTGTAACAGAGAGCACTCCAAAAGAAAGAGTACCAGGGCCAAGCCAGTGCCTTTTAGCAGAAAAAAAATCCTCTGCATGATCCTAGTGACCAGGGAAAAAGAAAAGTAAATGCTCTCACTACCTGTCCACTTTTGTTTGTTTTGACATAAATCCAGTTCTTTCCTCCCTACAGCCTCCCAGCTCAAATTTGACAGGAAGAGCAGAGGCCAATAAAGCTGGTGGATTGTGAAGACCAAAACTTTTTAAATACCATTTCCCTGAAGGACATGGTACTGTCTTGGCATGCTTTCACCTGAGGATTAGGAAGTGCATCCCAGAATTATTACCTCCCATGCCACTGCATTGAGGTATGGAGCAATACAGCCCACGTATGAAGCATGGAAAGGCTGCCTCAAGTTGTTCATTCTGGAGGCAATGAGAGCAGCAGAAAGCTGCTGAGGGCCCACCTTACCAGGCCCTTAGAACCAGGACTAGTGTGATGCAGGTTTAGGGCAGAATATAATACAGGTTAAGCCTCTGCTTGTCAGTGCTCTTGGGAATATCTGTGCCTGCTCAGGTATTGGGGGAGATAGAGGCTGGGTAATTGCATCCTTGCACCTCTTGGAGAGACCACCTCCACACAATTATTGCCAGAGTGCCACAGTCCTGCCCTGGAGACTGTCAGCTGCCTATCAATGAAATGACAAAACCCAAAAAATCTTGGTGCAGCCTGGTGCTTGTGCTTGTGTGCTGTGAGGGAGAATGAGCAGTGTATCAGCAGAAGCACTGGGCTAAATGGAGCAAAATGAAATCAGGTAGTGCTGCTGCTCCTTGTAAGAGGGTGATCCTTCAGGATTTGGCTGGAAAGCTGTTCCGAACTGCTGTCATGGACAGAATGCTGATTCCAAGCCCAGCTCTCTCACCCGTCGACGTTTTCCAAATGGCATTTCCTTGTGCTTGCTCAAGCATGGAGCAAACCTTCCCCCTTTCCCCTGGTGCTGCCTGCTCTCGTTCTCACGTCTGCTCCCCATTCACGCTAGCATAGGGCAGGATCTTTCCTGCTTGCCAGAGGTGTGAAGCCAATGTAAATTGCTTTCCTTTTTGCATTGAGGGAAAGTCTTATTATCAACCTGTCAGATCTAGACAGCTGCCAAGATGCTTTATAAGAAGAATTAAATCAGGCTCAATCTCAACAGATAGATTCTTGTCCCTCTTTGGAGGCCCCATGCAGGGCTCTGGCCTTCGCCAGCAGCAGCAATGCACATCAGCAGTGGGCTTTTTTCTCTCTCAGCTGAGCTTTATAAGTCAAAGCCAAGCATGTGGGGGAGACTGCAGCAGCATAAAACAGTCCACTATCATCAAACAGTAGGTCATAAGAAAATTGTTTCCCAGGCTTTTAGCCAGAGACATCTCACAATGAGCTGACAGAGGAATTACTTGGTTTCATCCTTGAAATGCAACCCTCAACATTATTAGAAATTGATGGTCAGTAGGGACCAGCACAGCCCCCAAAGCAGTGGCATTCCAGAAGAGAAGACAGTACTCCTCACAGATAAAAGAAATGAAGTGGTAATTTTGCATTAGAGAATGGGATTATATGGTTACAGTCCAGCCAAGACAGAAACACATCTTCCCTTCTCTGGCTTAGTGGGTTCTGTCCATGGATCAGGGACTCCAGTTCACAGTGGAAATGGTGGTTCTGGCATTGCTGTGCCAGTAGCCAGGTAAGTTATAACTGTTGTTCTGAGGGAGGCTCATTTGTGCAGTTGACTTCTCCAGCACTGAGTATCAACATTTTTCTTGTGTCAAGAGGCTTGACGAGTTCCCAAGTCAAAGTTACGAGGCTGACATTCAAGTCCAAGTGAAATTCAGCAATCTCAGGCTCCATAAGTTATGTGCATTTTGTCTTTCTCTACAGGGGTGGAAAAACATAGTTAAAGCACACAAATAAAATTAATAGCTCCTCAGATCCCTTCTCACTTGCTCTCCATCCTCCAAAGCCTCTGTGGCCTACATGTTACTATAAACTGGTTGTGTTGGGGATTTGATTTAATACAGTGACAAAGCACTTGGGTCTCTGTGGCTGGAGTCCCCCAACTATTCTCTGCCCTGAAAGGTTTCATCTGTTTTGCTTTGGCTTTGATGAAATTCTCAATGAAGTCATATTGGTGAATCAGGGGCTGTGCAAGAGGAACTGTACTCCTCTTACCTTTGAAAGGTTGGCCTGAAGTTAAGGGCTTAGAAAAGAGGGATAAAGATTAGTAGTCATGCCAACCTCTTCAAAGGAGACAGGCTCAAGGATAACGATGTCGATCTCAGCCATCAACCATGGATCCTGTATGATTCTACCCATTGGACAGATGGCAACAGTCACGTTCACAGGAGCAGAGTGCAGAATTCATGTCCAGATCTTCAGTAAGTTTCTACACAAAATCCTAAGAGAAAAGGTTTCCAAATGGGATGCACAAGTTCTTTCAAAAACACCCGGTCAGGAACTGAACTCAAAGGGACAGGAAATGGATGCTGAGACAGCTCTCACCAAGCATAGAAGAAAAGAAAGGAGTAGCAACTGAAAGGATTGCAGACACTCCAGGTAGGCAACACTGAGAAGGCTGGAGAGGAAAAAATAAAGAAGAGTTTAGAAGGTAAAACATTACAGTTGTCTTGAAAACAAACTGCAGTTTTGTGCCATAGATCCTGGAAAGACCCAGAGATATCAGCAAATCCTCCTCTTCACCCTCTTGAACACAGAAGGTTAATTCAGTGCTGAGAAGGTGGAGATCTTGGGCAGGAGATGAGCATGACTTCAGAACACCTCAGTGGTTCAGACCAGCAAATCCACTTCATGTCACCATTCCTTCTTTCCCTGTTTCTGCAATCAACCCTGGTCACTTCTGCAGTTTCTCTTCCCAAGGAGGAGCAGCCTCCTCCCTCCTCAGACCATGAAAGCCTTTGAGACAAGAGATGTGGCAGAAAGAAAAGTAATACAGACATAACAATTTTCTTCTCTAAAAAGACTCAAATGGCAATTTATAGCCAGCAACTTTTCTGATGGGAAAGAAAAGCTGTTATTTGAATACCCTTATGCTACTCACTGCCTTTACAGCAGCAATGCTGGGTGCAGGTTTGTGGGGGAAGGTTTTGTGAAATTCAGAAGTGGTGAAGGCAGTGGAAATTAGGAGGTAGCAAGAGTCCTTCCTTCTCTCATTATTCCTACCCCATTCCTATAGCCTAGAAACTGGGATGTGACTATGCAGTGTCACAGCTACATTAGCTAACTCACACAAATCACAGATACTCACACTCCCAAGCAAACATGCTCCTGGCCCACACTGATGATTTGTCTCACGCAGAACTGACACATTTTTAGGGTCTAATTATTATCACAAAGCTCTAAACAGTGTGGAGCAGACTCTCAGCCTTTGCTCATCAATGCCCAACTGCTCCCACTGATCTCTTCTCTTGGAGCAGTAGTTTGTTAGCTGCAGGAACCGTCTGTTGTTTTGAGCTTGGGAACTGACAAATTAGAAAAGGTTCAGCCCAGGATTTGATATCTCCCTGCCAGAAGCTCAGATTTGATGCCCAGATCAGAGTCCATGACATTCTGGGTATTTGGATTTTAGTCCCATGTGAGCCATGACAGTCCACAGCTCTTGCCAGTCAGTTCATGGCCTAGAAGGTTACAAGTTCTACTGAGGATCAGTGGTATTTGAAATGGGATCAGGTAGCTGTATGAAGATGAAAACAATTCAACATTCCTTTCTTTTACTTTATACATAAATAGCCCCTGTCCCATAAATCCTGCTGCCAGGATGCCCTGCAGCAGTGCTCTCGGAAGGAAGCATACCCAGTTTGTCATTGAGTAGGGGTGCCAAGGCATCTTGGATTCCTCCAGAGTTGCTGTTCCCTTTGAGCTGGCAGGATTAGTATTGTCTGTAAAAAGGAACAGTTCATTTATAGCTTTTGTAGGCCAAGTCTAATAGGAAGTGTCCTTTTGCCAGTGTGTTCTAAGGAATCTGCAAGATATCAGTCTCCATCCAGGCTGGCTGGAGGCTCCTCCAAAATCAGCCTACACACCTTGGCAGCACAGCCTGTCACTAATCCCTAGAAAACAACACCCTTTGAGAGCTAAATTTAGATGCCATTTTTAAAAAGAACAAATTAATAACTCCTAAATTTCTGCATAGCAAAACAACAAATTCTCTACCTTACAAATGCCCTCAAATTGGCTTTTCACCTTCACTTACCTGTTTCTGCACACATCAGTTATGGCAGAGACTGGCACATCCAATGCCTGCAAATTAAGTGAGCTGTGAACCTTCTTAAGCCACAGATGGAGAAACACAAAGGTTGTGTGTAGAGGATTGTGCCACCAGTTTGTTTCTCACAGATGAGCAACCCTGGCTGGAACAAAAGCATTCAGCATAACCAAACGCCAGGGAACAAATAGTTGGGTATTTCAGCACATCAAATTCATGTCTCTTTCCCTTGTTAAATCTGTCTTTTTCTAGTGGTCATGGGCAGCACTGAGGTCTTCATAACAGTTTTTAACACAACAGAATTTCATGGGTTGAAACCCTAGAGAGGAAAGGCAAAAATAAAACATAAAATTGCTTTCTCATTACAGTACACTAGTATTGCCTGGAAGTATGTCTTTTTTGGTTTTGTTTTTTTTTTGTACAGAAAACTTGTTCATTAAGTACTTCTCATACTTTTAGCAAAAGCATTTCCATTTTTAGAAGCATGGGACTAATTTTCTTCCTCTACTACTTTCAGTTTAGCTTTTTTGGTATGGAAAAGGAATAAGACCTAACAGCCAAGGATGTTTCTATTGAAATCAGTGTGCCTGCCCCAGTGAGAAACCACATCGGATCAACTCACAACCAGTCTACTAAGCATCATATAGAGAACCTTCTTTGTGACCCATTAGGACCCTGTTAGTTTCCACTTAAATGGAAATACACCTGTGATTTCATTAGAATCTGGGTCTAGTCTGTAACAAAAAGCTCTTCCCATCCAGTTGCAGGAATAAAAGTAAAATCTCTGGGACTTTATAATCTCATTGCAAAGTATCACTTAACATATTATACATCTTCCCTTACTTTGTGGTACTTAGACCCACCCCACCCCTCCCAAGATGTCAGCTAGAACAGCCTTATACTTGCCTGACATTTCTGAGTTTGGTTGGAGCTTAAAGGCCAGCGAAAAAAACCAGGGGAAAATAAAAGAAGGAAAATAATTTCTTATTTGAACTTCAGCTCTGGTACAATTACAGCCTGGGGTAAAAGCTCAGGTTGATTTCATTTTATCCCAATAGTCTATTTCTTCTTTCATCTGCCCCTCTAACTTTGCACCTGTTATATAGATATATAGAAATCAAGAAGGCCTTAAATCTGCAATCCCTCATTAAACAAGACTCAGATGCCTTTCAGACCAAACACAGATGTCTCTTTATTTCAAGTCATCCATGTATAGTGGGGCCTTAAGTGACTTTAATCAGCACTATGACACTACAATAAAGATTATAAATTAAAGATAAATTTTGAACCTGGCCTGGATTTCTTATGATAAAAAAGTGAAGTTTAAAAAGGTAAAGAAACACTCAGTGCACTGTGTTACTATCAACAGACAATCCCTCTAGCTCAGCAGTTTTGGGTTTTATCACATACACACAGAGCTCACAAGATAGCAATCAATTAAACATTTTTGCGAAAGCATTCAGTCAGAATGGGAACATCTGGAGCTGGGATTCAATTGTCCAGAACTAGATGCCTGATAATTAATATTCCTTCAAATGGCTCTTCTTTCAAGGTGTCCCTCATGTTTCCAGCCATTCCCCTGTGGCTTGGGTACTCTTCTGAGTTATTGCTCATCCCCCAGCCCAAGACTTGTATAGAAACACAGGAGGCAGACGAGCTGAAGAACTTATGTTTCAGCATTGCCTCAGGCACATCAACCAGACTATGTATGAAAAATATCACCTCACTTCAACAGCAAAAGGAAAGAAAACATTTGAGGAAATATTCTAGGAAATATATTTGTATTGGTTCCATGGGACAAATGCAAGGAGGATGGATTCACCATCATAAGACCTTATGAAGATTCACCTCTGGTTCCAAAATCTGTATTTTACAATTCTGAAGGATCATATCCTTCAACAGCCTGTGGATCATGCTCTTGTGCAACTCAGGAATGCACCTTTTGACACCACTGAGCTGACCAAGCTCAGTCTGTCTTACATGTACAAATTCAGGCTCTTCAGGCACAAACTGACATCGATATAATTGTTCCACACTTGGACAGTGGTTGCTTCTCCTCAATTCAGCCCTAAAAGCCTGTCCAATTGAATTGAAAGTATTTCACTCTCACACTGAATGCTGGGCAGCCAGGGAATTTTTCAGCTGTCTGAAAAATGTCTTGTTTCAAAGAAATTTTGCTTTCTAGTTCCAGGGAAACAAAATAACTAGACTGGAGGGAATGCAGACCCTGTATCAAGCAGGGATATGTCCATAAATATTGATAGATCATATGCTAAGTACTGGTAATGAGCAGCTGGATATCTTTATCTAAGAAACTTTTGGTACTTCTCAACTTTAATTGAGTTTGTCCACTGTTTTCTTACCTTCATTTTGCCCCAAATCATCTCCCCATGGCAGGTCTGCCTGCTGGTTTAGAGCCCAGTCCTATCTTCACAAGTCTGTCTGATACAATCTTCTTTGATGTCTTCATTGAGCTCTGCCCTGGGGAGGGGTAAAAAAAAAAAAAAAATCAAAATGCCTACACAGTTTGCAAGTCCAGCTATGTCTATTTGGTTTCAAGTGCATTTCCAATCTCTTTAAGCTTCCAACAGGGAGAAAGGGATCTGACTCTATGCAATCTCATTCACACCTCTTCTCCTACTACTGTGGAGGCATGATGTTGACTTCTCAGCAAATACAGCCTCATTCCTCTGGGTCTCTGCATTGTTTGCTTAGCTGAGCCCCATCAAATTATGTTCAAATCACACTAAGACAAGAGAAAAATCAGAATGTGCCCCTTTCATACCTGGCTTTTATATTTATTTGCTTCTAATAGAATTTATCATCCAGAGGAATTTCAGTTTTTACAGAGCTTCTTCTCTTTCCCCTCTGTGATTTGGGTCAAATCCTATCACTGAGCTCTGCTAAATTTCTTGCAATATTAGCATTGCTGTCCCCCAGCCTGGTGGGGATGTGACAAGCAAACATTGCTGAGCTGTGTCCCAAATCCAAGCTAAGAACACCAAGAGGACTGCGGAAAAATGCTCAGACATCCTAGCCCAGCTCCAGGGAACCTGAGAATGGAAGCTCATGAAGCAGGCACTGGACAAGTAATGCCCATACCTTGCATGGGAAAGGAGGGTGGGAAGAGCTCCTGTAAGCTCCAGATTTCCAGACACTGACACAGACACTCACACTGGAGTCACCAGTTTCTAAATCAGAGCAGACATAGGGCCAGAAAGAAATAGAGGATGACAATAGAAGGTCAAATGGACAGGGGAGGAAAAATCACAAGGAAATAAAGAGAAACGAGGCTTTTTATTGGGCCCATTCTGATGATGCACAGGTAGGAACATAACAAGGGCTGCTCTGACATGTAATTCAGATAATTCAGGCTGGATGTACCTTAGAAAGGGCTGTGTTTCTCCAAAAATAAAGCTGCTGTCCTCATTTCACTCTGTCTGGAAAAATGGGCAGTGGGGAGAAGACAGTGGACAGCAGACATCATCTACATGGTCCAAGAGGTTGGAGCTTTGAAACAAAAGCAGAAACAGCTTTGGTATCTCAAGGAACACGTTATGGGCAACAGCACAATTCACCACAAACTCTACCCTCCTATTGAATTCAAAGCAACTACAGTTTTAAATAAGCATCTTCAGTATGGAAAAGGATCCCCAAAGGATACGTCAGAGAGTAAGTGGGAAGGAAATAGTTCTTTGCAGTAAGGACACCACTTTCACCTTACCTCATTCCCATCTCTCCTTCCTCTCCAGGGGCCTATTTTATAGCCCTGCACAGGCGCCCCCAGCCACTGTCACATGAGCTGCTGGTAGCTGATGAGTCTCTCTGCTTCCCTGAGGTTTCCTAGTTCAGGAACTCCTTGTGCACCGTGTGGGAGCATTCTGCTGTGGACCATACCAACACCAGAGATGGTCCCCTTGGCGACCAATGGCTAGTGTGGATCACAGCACCTTTAAATCTCCCCTGATATTTAAACACGTTTAAAGCTCCTCTTCAGTTAATACATGGAGAAAATATACCTCGGAGCATATGGCACATGTGCTGACTAACACTGTAGATAATGTCAGTAATAATGCTCCAGAGTGCACATGAGCTGGGCTGCAGCCTTCCAATGAGGAGATCAGGGCAGGCCTGGCTGCTGGGTTGTATTTTTAATACATAACATAAAAATAGAGAAAGATGTAATGGGTTTCTGTTTTCAAATAAGCTTCCAATTGTGCCACCTGTAAGTCAAGGAGATGTGGGAGGACAAAAAACAAACCATCAGGTCATAAAAGCTCCGGGAGAAATACACTGATAACCCAGGTCTCTATTTTCCAAGGTGCCGCTGCTCAGTGTCCTCCAGTCTATGGGAATGCTCAGAGTTTATTCCTGCAAATTGCTACAGCTAGAGAGTTTCCTGCTCTTGGAATAGGCTCAACAAATTGCCTCGTGGTAGGGAATAACAAGTCCTGAAGAAACCAATGACTGCACCTACTATCTCAGGCCTGTGAGACTGTATTTATTTTCCATATCAGTTCCAGACTGAGACTCACAGACTTCCTGCCCGTACAACTCACGCTGGAGTAGATTTTCATCTCAGATGAGGGATACCTGAGCTGTGGTTTGACTTAGTAGCTAGGATTTTATTCTGTGGTCTGTAGTGAAGAGAGACTCGTGGAAGGCATTTGGCAAAGTAAATGGTACAAACCAGCCAACAGATAGTCTTCTCCCTTTCACAGCCCCTAATGAGCCCTTTGCTTCTTATCAGAACAACAAGGAAACAGACATCCCTCCAGCACATAACCAGCCCCTCTCTGAGGACCAGGAGATGAAACCATATGCAATAAGTTACAAACATGGAGTATTTCTGAACTCATTTGTCTGCTGATAGGATTCAGGCCTTATTCCAACCTGCAAATGGGATGTGCTTCACTAGTTTTAAATCACTCAGCAGGTGATAAGTGGTTAACGCCTGAAGCCCTGAGGTGCCTTCAAAACATAATTGCTTATTAAAATAAAACAATAATTAAGTGGAAGACACAGAACGTTGTGATTTCTGAAAACCGGATCATTTTTTATAATGAATTATTGAGGCTGAGAGCAGACAAGGTGTAGCCATAAAACAAGGGAGAAGGGCTGAGCCAGAGAGCTGAGGGCACACAGTGCTCTGGCAGCCAAGGGAGGAAAGAAGTGTGAGGGCTTGAGAGCACCCATGGAAAAGATGCTCCAGATGCCACCACAGCAAAGGCATAGCTGTATTTGATGAGCAGGGAGTCACATTCAGATTTGCCCTGAGGGTAAACAAACTTCACGCTCAAAAGGTCCAAAATCAAGCCAATCACAGGCATCTTTTCAAGGTGTTGGAGGAAGAGGAAGGGGTTTGCTTGGGGACAATTCCTGCCTCTACGTGGCAATGGCCTTAATGATAAGGATGGAAGGTCACAACTTCTCAGTTCCCTTCAGGTTCCAATTAAACTGTCTGAGTGACCAGCACCTGGATCAGACCCTTCTGGAGTCAGTGTAAAACAAGTTTCTCACTGTTGTCGCACTATCCGTCAATGATTGATCCTGTCTCTGTGGGGATCTGTAAGCCAGAAACTCAAACAGGACATCCCTCACAGAATCTGAGGTTCCCAAAGATATTTCATATTCTTATATTCCCCCTTCCTTCTCTCCTCCCAAGCACAGAGACCAGAAGTCTCCATCTCTTTCAGGCAAGATCTGAAAAATACTGCCAACCTCAAGAGCTTTGATTAGTCAGAGTAAAAACCACTGCATTAACTGTTCAGTTAGCAAATACTTGATTGTTTTCATCCTCTTCACCCCACAGTGTGAGCTGCATAGTTTTAATCATGACTTTGGGCTTAATCCTGATTGCTTCATTGCAAACTGCAAGAACATATCATTACTTACAGTGCCATTCTAGGCTAGTAGTCATTCCTTCAGGTCAGCAGGTGATGGGGGAATCATTGTGTGGCTTTCTGTGCCCCTGCTTCTCATACAATGGCAAAGTCCTGCAAGCCCTGAGCTGAGAATTAAAGAGAAAGTATCAGGGTAATTTAGATCCTAAACTTGCAAGCCTTCCAGCTTTGCATGCTCGTAGATATAATCCCACAGAAGAGGAGCAGAGATAGAGGAGTGAAAGTGTTGCCATATACTCTCCAAACACATACCTTGTTGTACAAGTTCGCCATAGACAGCAGCAGGGAGCTGGTGACACTGGCAGGAGGCTGTCCCATACACAAGGGAGACTATCAGGCTCAGTTTGTCTGTAGTGTAGCAACTTTAAAATATTTCACCTTAATCCAGCCTCTGGTACCACATTACAAAACTACCCAATGATAACTAGCTCTTCATTAACAACCTCAGCAGAGGGTCAAGGCTGGAAAGAGCAATGAAGAAGTTGTCCCTAGAGTAAACTTCTTATCCTCCCCTTCCAGGCCAGGGTGAGGAGAAAAACAGACTCCACTGTCTGGCCCACAGCTGTCCCCAGAGCTCCTCATACTGGCAAGAGGTGCCAGACAATTTTGGCTTCTAAACATTTCCACATTAAAAATGACTGCCAGCACTTCAAGAGATCTCCGGCCTCAGCAAGCAGGAAGGAGGCAGCACACAGCTAAATGAAGAGGCTATTTTTAACCGGGGCTCATTTCTTGGGGAAGGAATCATTCATAACCTGTATGCATGCAGGGCATCAGATACAAGACAGGCTTGGCTGCAAGCACTCAATAATGGACCTACCAGCTTCCTCCTTTCTGCACTGGGAAGCAAGGGCTCTTTGCTGTCTTACATGGATCATGGGGAAATGCTGAAGCTGTGAGATTATCTGTTTTGTGTCCCCCTGTACAGTGGCTGCTATGGTAGGAGAGAAAGCTGCCCAACTCCAATTTCATCCCCACTCATGCTCAGAGCCCATCCTTGTGGCATTCTTAAAACTCTTGCTTCTTCTGTTTCCAGCAGCACTGAGTCCTGCACCCTTCTGGGAGGTCCTCTTCTGAAGCAGACACTAGCTTAGCCCAAGGCAATTCATATGTCTCACCAGGCTTTTCTCTACATGGGGTAAATGCAGGTTTCCTGAACTTGGAAACCCTTTGCTTGCAGCCCTCTCACTTCCCCTAGCACTTATATCCTTTGCCATAATCAGTGGTCAAATGCTTCTGGCTCAACAAGGGCACAGATCACTTTGAACTGCAGCTCTGATAATTGGGTTTGGCAGGTAATATTTGGCTCTAAGACCTTTCTCATCCTTTTGATTTCACTTTTATAAAGTAGATGCTCAAGGATTTCAACTCTGAAGGTAAAAAAGACTATTATGATCATCTAATCTGACCTTCCACTTACCTGTGGGTGTAAAAATTTACCCAGTGGTCCTTTACTGAGCCCAGGAACTTCTAGTTGAGCTGGATTGCTGCTTTCAGAAAAGTGAGTTGAACTTGATATATTGGCTTTAAGTAACAGAGAGCTTACCACATCCCTTTGGCAACCACTCCAGGGGTTCATCATCCCATCGTTAAAAACATCCACCTCGTTTCCCAATTGGAAATCAATGTTAGACAAACATAGACATTGGATCTTGTTACATCCCTTTCTCCACTAGCCTAAAAAGCTTCTAACATTCAGTATTGTTTTGTTTTTTCCCCTCAGCTCTGAACAAGTACTCCTAGAATCTCTGTAGTGTGCAGGTTTAGAGCAGAATACACATAACAGACACACAGCAGCTCTCTTCACTGTTCTGAACATTGGTTCACCATCAGTCTCAGCCTGAGCAGTTTGGCTTTTTAGTGTTTTTCTGCTTGGAGAGCCCCACTCCCACGCCTGTCCCTAACATCAGGGTGTTACTTTCGTGCTCTCTCATCCCAGCCAACTCAGAGGTGCTCCTCACCTCATCCTAAGAGCTCTTTTGCTCACATTAAACATGAAGGTCAGGTTAACAAAGGTGCTTTGGGATTGTATTAGCCTAAACCTCCTGCTGTGTTTCAGGCTCCAAAAAGATTGCAACACCATTATAAAAACATGCAGTTTGGTTTAGTTGCTTAAAATTAGACTGTGAACCTCCACGACCCTTGGGATGGGTGCATGCACTGGGGAGAAGGGAAGAAAACAGAGCTCAGAAGTCAGCCAAAATACTCAGGCTCTGAGCTTAGCTCACAAAGAACTGCAAACCATGTTTTCAATCTGCTGCTTAAGGGCTCCTGGGATCCAAAGGCCACTTCTAAGAGCTCACGACAGGTAGTTAGGAGAGTAAACAAAGCCATAAATTCTTGCAAGAAAATTCATCATGCTGCTCAAAAAATTTTGGGGCCCATATTGCAAGTGTGGATGAGAGCCATTGATTACAGGATATGGGTGCAACAACAGCTGAAGAGGAGTTTGGCTTCCTTTTCCTCCATGACAAAGAGCATCACGCCTCAATTAAGAAAGCACAGACCCTCCAGCTACCCCAAGAAAGCAATTGGAAAACTTAATGTATCTCATCAGAATGCAGCTTTTGCTAATTGCTCACACCAGACCGACAGTCCTCACACTTAACTTCCCCCAGAAATAAGACAGAAGAGAAAGAAAATCATTACAAGAAGAAGTTATTTAAAAGGGATCAAAGCCAGCAACACATCTTACAGTCAAAGCCAGATAGAGTTTGGGGGGAAATCAACCCCAAAACACCAGTCAAACAAGCCCCCTCTCCTGACCCCAGTAACTCTAAAACACAGATCCTCCTGCGTGAGCTTTTTGAGTGTGTAGAGGGAATCGAGGTGAGTGATGAAGCAATGCCCAGCAGCTGGGCCACTTCACTAGTCTGCAAGTCCCTGCAGTCAGCCAAGCACTTCTGTGCCCTCCCAGGCAGCTGAAGGCTGCAATTAGCTCCTTTGCCCCAAATTTCTTCCTTGAGCTCTTTATTTCAGTAACCAGAAATACACCATATGTTGAACCTATTATTGCGTGGAGGGAGATAGTGCAAGTGGGAGGGATTAACCAGAATATAAATAAAAAGCCTAAGGTGCAGCAAAACAATAATAATAAAAATCCACCTGTATCATGAGCTTTGAAAAACCCTCCTTTCTGTCTTCAGATACTGTGGTGTATGCACACCTCTATCTTTCTCCTGGCTATGAGTCCCACATTGTTGGCCCGAAACTTCTTTTCCTGAAGAGAAATATGAGGGAAGTTTTTTTTTTTTTTTTTTTTTTTTTTTTTGAGAAACAGGACAGAATCATATGAATCCATAAAACATAACTTTTATTATCCCCCCATCTGCTTTCCCACCAGATGGCATGTATTTGCAAAATAGCCCTTGGAGGCAAGGGAAAAGAAGGAGAGAAAGAAAGTTGCCGTGAAGAAATCCAAAGTGATGGGAAGATCTTAGGGAAACTGTTGTAATGTATAATCAGCCCATTTAATACGGAACACTAATGCACAGCTGCTGAGAAAACTTGTCCAATATGCTTCTGCAACAGCAAAAAAGGCCTCTGAGGTCATCTTGGCGCCTCCATTATGCTACAAAGAAATTGTCTAATTGCAGAAACTTGTGTAGTCTTCAGTATTAACCTCTTTCCCTCACAGGCAGCCAAGCAACACAGCTCTCTTGTTTAGAAAGCCTGGAGCAAGACGACCAAGGGAAAATGGATTAATAAATCCAGCATGAAAAGTCTTTTACTGTTGATCCTAGATTTATATCGGGAATAATCTGTTTCTTCCTCTGAGCAGAGTACTAGGCCAATGACGCAAAGCAGGACTCACCTTAAGACTAAGAACATTTCCAAGCCCCCCTTTTCTCATCCAATTTTTCTGTCTCTGCTGCAAAATCTCTGGCTCACTGTGTAGAGGCTGAACCTGTAAATTCCCCTGGCCACTGTGCTCCAGTGGTTTTAAGGTGCTCAATGCTTTATGATTTTAGATTCAGAAGGACCTTGATCCTGCAGGCTGAATATAAGAAACTTAGAGGAGGGCCCAGGACAAGGTAGAGAGGAGAGAACAGAGCCAAGGAGAGCACTGCAGTGCTTGGGTAGAGCACACACACCAGAGCCCAGAGCTGTAATGCACCATTTAATCCTTCTGGGCAGGGGACTGGATGGTGGTGCAGGCAACTCTCAGACTGGTTGTTGATGGAAACTATTAGTAAAGCTGCCCAGGGGCTCTGGATAAGCCATAAAGCTTGCAAAGTAACTTGGAGAGATGGCTAAGGAGATCTGTGAGCAGGAGTTTCTCCTTGTGGTTTCTAAAGCGTCATTGTCACAAGGTGGAGTGACTTTTGACTCACAAGTCTAGGAGGTACCACCTGCAAACCTGAGGTTGTGTGCAAATGGACCCCAGCTGACAGCCAGATCCCAGAGAGCTGTTAATTCAGTTCTTGGTCATCTATATGAGAATTTCAGTTCTCAGGGCTTTCATCTTGCTAAGCCTGCACCTCTGGAAACTGCATCTAAAACAGGCCTCAACAATTGTTCACAACTTCCATAACCTGCCTGGCACCCACCCAACACTAGAAACCCTTGCTGCCTCTCTTGAAATTTGGCTCAGAAAGCACAAATCCCAGCTTCATGCTAAGTGAACACTTTGTGAACCATTTGGCAAGTCTGGCCCGAATTCCAGTGTGCAGATGATATTTTTTCTGTGGAAAAGGCTAGACAAACTCAACCACACAACCTGCAAGCTGGTTCCTCAGCTAGAGTGAAGGTAAAGCTGAAACAGCCTCTCTGTGCCCAAAGTCATGAGAAATTTGGGATTGCTCAGGCAAATGCTGTCACTGGCTGTTGACAATCTCTTAAAGCAATCATTGTACATGGAAGGTAGAGCTTGTCATTTTAGTTGGAAGCATACTAAATAAATTTAATCCATTAAATAATCTTGTGTATGTCAGATACTATCATAGAACAGTCCTATAGAAATGCCGAGTTTCTTAGTAACCTCCCAAAAGCCTCTGCAGGGGAAAAAAAGTGCAGTGGGTGCTGAGACTATTAATCAGAAAAGGACAAACAATTATGTCTGAGTGGGCACCAGTCTGTCCACACAGCCTTCACCAATTAAAATCA